CACTCTGAGGTTATTCAAAGTGAGAGAGAAGGCTACCCAAAACATCAAGCAGTAACCTTGAGGGAAGTCAGCTGCTGTTCAGTCAGTGATATGTATTGTTTTAGACCCTCCTCAATGACTGACTGGGAATTCTGCCTCTTGCTCTGAAAAACGGAAATGGCATCCTTTGTTTGCTTGACCCTGAAAGGCAGAGGAAGCTGAAGACTTTATTTATTCAACCCCAAGACATGGGAACTTACAGAACATTGTCACTTCCCAAAGAGCTTTAGTTTTTATTTTCCTTCTCAGCCCGTGTGGGTTCTGTTTGCCTTATGGATTTTTCACAGACAGTTTGCTACCAGCCTTGGACATCTGTGAGTTGCTTGTGCATGGCTGTCAGTTGAAAGAACATTCTTTGTAGCTGCATGCAAATAATCATGCAGCTTGATGTCAGAAATCACTCCAGTTTTGATCAAAAAGCCTTACCACTTACCAATTCACCTTTTTAATTAGAATGTGTGTTATTTCAGAGCACATTTGAAGTCTTTCACATCAGTAGGATGATGGATGCTAACAAGGGAAGCTGAGGGAAGTGGTCACAATCAGAAGTTGGCCGACACGATAGAGCACATGGACTTTGCAAAACTCATTATCCCATTCTACTTCTGCCTTTAGAAGATTATTTTGATGTTGTGTTTCACAACAAAATGTATCCTTTAAAAGAACAGGGCTCCTTAAGAACCCAGAAACCTACAAGTGATAGAAGGTCAGGCACACAAACAGCTAAGGCAGACTGAAGACAAGCCCCGCCGGGTTACATTAGACTGACGACCTATCCAGAATATTTGTAAAAAATTCTAAACTCTGTCATGGTTGCCAGTTGCAAGAAAATGAGCCTCAGATTCCACTAGGGGCTTTCTCATCGGGTCTTTCTCATCACTTTTGTTTGGCTGAGAGTGCAGACACCAACCCTCAGTTTAGAGAGAGCAAAGGATGGAAGGACTTTCCCGCTCGGGGAACTGTTTTGCACAGGGATCCCAAGAAGTAAAAAGGCCTTTATGGTCTTTCTGCTGCTGCTAGGGCCACCAGTACTCCTGGTTAGTACACACCTGCACAGACATTTACAGCTGCTCCTACCAAGAGGAAGAGCAAGCTGTGAGAGCACCTCACCTAACCCTAGGGGGAAATGAGTTCATGGAAGGGGTTCTTGGGCCAAATGTTGAATGGAATCTCCAACACTGAATGGCTGTACTTATGTTCTCACTTCTCTGTGCTGCAGAGAGGAGTGTGGGGTGTGTTGTGCTGCAAAGCTGCAGGCATTTTGCAGGAGAAAAAAGGCTTGTGCTTGGGGCAGGAAGAATGGCTTAGCTATGCTGTACTCTATAGATTATTTGGACCCAAAGATCGATGTCATAACCCACTGCATTTTTTACAGCAGTTAAATAAATAGAAGGCTAATGGCAGATGGTTTCACTTAAACTTCAAGAAAGGCACCGCCTATATGTCAGTTTGGTATTGGTGTAATGAGCCAACAAGATTCTGAATTACAATAAAAGCAAATTTAGGAATGAAACCTACTGGAGACTTAAATGGTCTCTAGTGCATAGTTAGATTTCTAAAATAATAGTTGCAATCCAGCATAACAAACATGGCTTGCTTGAAAACAAAAGCTGGAGTTTAACTGTAAATTGCAGTTGGTTTTCATTCCCATGAGAAACTGCAAGATATTTCTTCTTGGAATAACTTCTCCAAAAGGCAGACCAATGGTGCCTCCAAAACCATGTAGAGTGGGACTAGGGTTCCACAGTTCTGCTTTTTTCCCTCCAGGCTTACCAACACTAACATCCTTAGGTACCATCAGGCAGATCTTCTGCAAGTATTATGTGTCCACAAATGCCGGGGGGCTCTGATGTCGGGCAGAGGTGGGTCAGAATTGGGCATCTCTGGCTGCAGGGGCCAAGGGCAGAGCTGTGCCAGGGACAGCAGCCAGCAGGGAAATGGGAGAAGGGTAAAGGGCTGCAAGAACATCTAGGGAGGCAGAAATGGAGGAGCTGACAGCAAGTATTGACTGTGAATTGGGGGTTAGCCCACCAAGCTTGGAAAGGAGCTATGAACAGGGTGGGAGGAAGGAACAGGGAGCACGAGGGAGAGGATTGACTTGTTGTACTAACGTGCAACAAGTTCCTATACTTAAAAAAAAAATTACATTAAACATATTTAACATATGTTAACACACTAAATATATTTAAATATTCAAATATATTTCTGTGCACCTGCACAGATGCCCTCAGTGAGGATGTGTCTAGCTTATCTTCAAGCTTGCAGAGGGGCATGGGTGGTTCAGGCTGACTGGGAGAAGAAGCATGTGGCAGAAAACTACAAGAAATGGTCATTTTTACTCTTTTCCAACATACGGCAACTGAATACTTTAAATCAAGTTTTCATCCTGAAATTTAATCATGTACTGTTATTGCCTTGTACAACGTCATTCTCCTCAACTTCCATCTTACTGACTGCACACATGTGCATGCACGTGTCTACTACAAAGATCTGCCACTACCTGTACAGCACAAGGACTGCCAGTGGTCGGACTCACCCCAACTCTTCCCTCACAGGAAACCTCTTCAGACTGTAAACTTGACTCTGCCTTGTACACTGGTGAAAAATGCCAGACCAGTCTTGCAGAACCATGTCATGAACTTCCACACAGAGCTATGAAGGACAGGAGCCGACAACTCATTCTACTTTCTAATCTTTGTCTGTACCTGTTCCCTGTCCCAGCAGCCAGTGGTGAGAATGGCTCAAGTCAGCTTAAGGCAGTCTCTAGTGGAGCTCAGAAAGTACTAGAGCAATCAAAGTGTGATCAGAAAAGAATCTATCCTGATGGGAAAAGACTGTCCAAGTAATTCAAAGGGTTGCTTGTCAACTGCACTTTCAACTGTTTCATGTTTGGAAACAGCTCCATGGGTAAACTTTAGCACACAGAAAAAGACCCAGCAGAGAAGAAAGTCATGAAGTTCTGAAGAAGTTTCACAAAAAAGACCCTTTTACTTGCATTCCTGTCATCTCCTCTGCCAGGGCTGTGGCAGCAAAAAGAAAAGGCAAGGAAGTGGTAGTAGAAAAGGTTTCCCTTCTTGCACAGAGATCTGGCTGAGGCACAAGAAAAGGCAGGAGGGGACGAGTTCTTTCAGTGAAAGTTTTGCCAATTTCTCCCAAGGAGACTCATGGTTTTCTATCAGCCAACTCTCTGCAGGTGCACAAAGAATTAAGGTGGGTTCAAAAGAACTTTAGACAGCTGGGAGGATAGCCTTGTTGACAGCTAACTTCCAGATGCTTGTTCAGGACATGCTCTGTCCCTACAGAGGGAGAATAAGGCGGAGAAACAATATTCTCAAAGGAGACAAATGGGTTCTTCTCCAGACAGAACATTCTAGGAAATAGTTTCCTTCAGGTTATCTACCAATAGTCAAACGAAAATCAAGCCAAGTTACCAACTGTTTCTTGTGTATCTTATAGTTTTGTTCCTAATACCTGGCTGGGTGTCACAGAGGAATCAGGGTTTGACACCATTGTTTACTTAATGCTATCCTTGTGTCTCATCTGTTTTGACATCTCTGCCCAAATCCCTGGACATTTTTTTATTTCCTGGATTATGTTGATGTTCCAAAGAAAAATCCCAAAGAACTCAAGAAAATATATTTCACAATGTTTCGTAATAATGAAATAATAAATGAAGGATAAGATTCTGATGCATATTTTCCAAACTATATTTACTCCAACAACTGAAAAATTATTTCAAGTAAAACAAGACTCAGTAAACTGTTAAGAAGAAATACTTTGTTATTTAGAAATAGCATTTGTACTTCAAGTGACAAAGTACCCATTTGCACGTGATAATTCAGCTCAGCCAGAGAAGGATTTTTGTAATAGACATAAGAAGGGAGTTTCAGGCAGATAAATGCCAAAAATAATTTTGATACATCTAATAAAAATACCCCTAAGACAGCTGTACAGATTATCACACTCGACAGTACTGTATGGGAAAGTGTAATTATCAAAATGCTGAAAGTCTGAACTCATTTTTTTCCCCTTAGTTTATGGAAATTCGCATCATCAGATAATGTTTTCGGCATGCTCCAATTTAACAATAACATTTAGGTTTATGATTCTCATGTACTGTAAAACACAGACATTTTAAAAAAGCATTATGTGCAGAGTTACTCAGAAAGTAAAGTTTATACTGTTACAGGGTTCACAATGCATTTGATGACTGTGACAATGACCCCGTGCCCCAAACATGTCTTAAATTGGCAGTTCCTCACCATAGGAATTAACGATATATTTGCACAGGCCATGTCCTGTCTCTCATGTGGGACTGAAATGTGGATCAAGAACATTTCTGTGCACTAATAAGCCTGTGCCCCACTGCAAAGCTGTTTTCCCTGCTGTCCTGCAGCACTGTAACATGATGATTATTAATCTTGACCATGCAGTGCTGAGAGGTCCCACTCACACTGAGTATTGTATAACAGAGTGGTAAACAGCTGAGGAAGCCGATGGAAGCAGTCAGCATCCTAACAAACTAGCAAGGCCAAGGAATTTGCCCTGCTAAGCAGGCGTAGGAGGAACACAAATGAGAAGATGAGGACAGTCTCTACGGTCAACGGGATCTCTGTAGCCACCAAGTCAGAGAAGTTAAATCGTGTTCATGTAACCCTTAACCAGCTCTGTACAAATCAAGACTGGATGGCACCCCCTCTGTTCTTGAAGGAGCCAGAATGAGACACTGCAGAACCACTGGCCAAGTCCCATATATAGTCTGGGTGACCAGGCACTGGTGATCTGCCAGTACTCCAGATTCAAAGGGGACCCTGGCAACTAAGGCCCAGTAATGACCTGTTTCACTTATTTTGCAAAGCTGTAATGACAGACACTTGGTCTAAGTTTGCTTTCCATGCACACTCCAGGCACATCTCTTTGAAATTGTTCTCTTATCATTCTCTTTCATGTTTTGGACTTACCATTGATGTTTACAGCTGGCAACACTATAGACATCTTTGGCCTTCTGGTCTTATTATGTGTGGTGGCTGGCAATAACAGGTGGTCCTGGAAAACAGCGGAAAAGATGTGTTAAATCTACTCTGAAAGTACAGAGCTGGGAAAATTCCTTTCCATTCTGTGTTACAGGCATTCCACATAGAACTATTTACAACAGCTTAGAAAATTCATATCGTTGTGGAAGTCTTCCAAAAGTCACAGCAATTGCTCATGCTGTGTAACCAAGAAGAAACCCCTATTGCATGCAGTGGAATATGAAAAAGCCTTGATCATGGGGAAAGAGATGGAAACTACTATTAAGCCCTCATTCAACTGAGTACTTATGTATATATGATTAAAGTAGTTTAACTTGACTTCAACAATATTTAAACATGTGGTTAGAGGACTTTGTTGAATTGGAGTTTTATCTGCAGTGCCATTTACTCTAAGTCATCTTGCTGTCTCTGTCAAGCTCTGCACCACATGCATCGTGCAGTAGGACTCATTGGTCAGAGGTGTGATGGGGTGTGAAATATGAGCTCTGCTGACAAAACCTCCCAGGGAAGTTTGATGGTAAAGCTGTGCTTTAGTATCATATCTCAACTGTGAGGAGCCTGGGTGCTGCCGTAAGACAGCAGCGCTCAAACTAACTACCTTGGGTCTGAGCTGTGGAAGCTGCATCTGCAGGAAACACTCAGGATATGGACCTGACCTGCAAGGAAAAATGCAGCCTTTCTTCAGGTTGGTTTTTTTTGCTGTTGCTGAACTCAAATTGCTCAAGGGAAAATATGGTTCTTCCCTTATCAACAGAACTTAAAAGCTCCAGTCCAGGCACCTCCCATATTATTGTGCTTTGCTGATCTAGCTGGACCAAAGAAAGACTACTAAGGATGAGGGAAGCTTCCCATGTCTTTCAAAGTTTAGATTCCCTGACAGAACTTTGCTTCACTGCACTGTCTCAGCACGCAGTGGGCATTGTGAAGGAAGTATATTTGCTCTCTCTTAGTAATTAGGAACAAAAGGCTGTTTATATAATTGTCGAATTGAGTTTAAATTTATAACTCAGGCTCTAAGTGAAACAAAAACCTGCCAATCACTAAGTACCTTTTCCAGGTCTCCAAGAATTAATGGAAAGGTTTATTTTCCCAGCCCCTGTGTTCGCCCTTCTCCCAATCCCAGCAATTCATTCCTAGTGTCCCCGAGAAAAATGAAAGCTGGCAGGTGTAACCATGCAAATATATGGACACCAACTCATTAAGAGGTTTTTGTAACTGCCCTAAAACCAGAACAGAACATCTGCCTTTTGCTTTCCAAGAGCCAGACACATTGTTAAAAAGCAGAAGCAAGTTTGATGGGCCCATCCCATTTCATGGGATGAAATTCCATGTTCCCACATAAGAATAGGCATATACACATCTCATACTTTTGGCCAAGGTGATCTTTTCAGCAGACTGAATCAGACTTCCTTCAGGACACAGTTATTGATTTATTAATGTCAGGGTAACTGTACTTTTGCCATTTTAATATCTAAACACTACATTGTTATGTGTAAGATTCAGGGAACTGAGTTACACACAGTTAGGTGTTAAATATATCAAGATATTCTGTAGACACAGAATTGAAGAAATACCACTCTCTTTTTTTCCCATCAAAAATTTCCCCTTTCAAAAACCCAAATGGCTGACCATGAGAAGAAAACATTACTTAAATGAATGTCTGTAAAAAACATCTTGGTAACAAAATTATAAAACCACTCTGGTATAAATCTCAGATCACACATGTAATTCCCATTTCACTTTTGAACCACTAAGATTAAGACAACATTCAGTACGACAATGAACTTTACATAAAAACCGTTCTTGAAATCCAATGTTCCCAAGGGAACAGGCCAAAGATAAGATGTCTACAACTACATTTTGTAACAATGCCCTTGTCATGACTTGATGACTATTTTTAGCATCGCTTAAAAATGCTTATACTATTTTATTTTCCTTTTTCAATGTTTCTGAGAGTCCACACCATCATTACTTAGCAAAATAGAAGTACTGAACACCTGAGAATCATTACAAGTAAAAGCTACTTTTTGCTAACCTATCTGAAGATTGGTGCATTAATTTATCCTGGCTTAGCTTTGCTTATAATGGCATTTTTACTTACTGTATGTAAAAATTGTATTAAGAACTACCACAAGGGCTTCACAATTGTATTCAAATGTGCTTTGGAGTTGCTGCACAACCCCTCAGTGATTCAACACCAGCTCTGGAGAAGACAGACACACAAAAAGCCAATCAGCTCTAAAACCAAACTGCTACCAGGAGTTACTGTGCAAGAAGCACAGATTGCCTAGAAGCTGCCCATCTACAAAGAGCCATTTTTTAAAATCTGGAATTAGGGAAATTTATTCATCTCCCTAATAACCTTTATCTTTTATATGCAGGAGTGTCCTTCTGACAGTCAGTCCAAACTTGCAGTTCCATAACTACCCTCATTCTACACTGAAAGCAAAGTTTATGCTGCAGACTATCACAGATATTTTCACTACAGCTAGCCACCCACAATATTCTCAAGGTCCAAAAATCTTCAAAGAGTCCCAAACTTTTATTTGAAAGCAATACCTAATTATTTATATGCAACAGAAATGAGCATAGAGATTACTGATTAGGAAGAAAGCAGACATTTAGAAACGTTGTTTGAATGTATTTCTGAAATGGTCTATCCTGTTCTCAAGTATGCTGAATTGCATTCCAGAAAGGGGTGTGATACTGCTACTCATCCCTAATTTTAAACACTAGACAAAAAAAATCTAAAATTAAAATGCTATTTGTGATATTAACACATAGTATAAAACTGAAAATTAATAAAAGCAAATTTTGCAAGTCAGCATCTGGCCCAGGAGCATGAGCGTCAACCAGAGGCAGAATAAATCACAACTATTACCCAACAACAGATGGCCTTGACTTGGGCCAAGAGCTGCACTTAGACGACAATTTAAATAGATGATGGAGACTTCTGGCAGAATGACTGGAAAAATATCAGTCTGGAAAGACAATATTTCAAATGAGACCCCCGCTTCAGCATTCTCATTTTGCTTTTGATCATCTCTACAGTTCAGTGATACTGAAGCCAGATGGGATGGACAAATAGATACAGACATAGAAACTAAAAATCCAGCCACAAATACATTACCTTATTAAATTAAGTTGGAATACTGAAGCACATTTTTTCCTGGGGATAAATTATGAAGATGTTACTTGCTAAATTTCTGATTAACAATCACATCTATTAAGTCTTTGCCACCACAAAACATCTAGGAATATTATTAGAATATAGTTAATCAGAGCTGTAAACACTTAGAAATTAGGCACCCCTACAGACTGAATCTTTACTCTGCTGGCTAATTCAATGCCTGCTGATCAACTTCTGGACTCACCAACATATGGAACTGCAATAAGGATTCTGAGGCTTCTTACATATAAGATCAGTGTTATCAGGGCTCTAACAGGGATTAAGCTTTGGAGCCTCATGTATCTCTAACCCCCAAAGGCAAAAGGCAATGGAAATCCTGTTCTACTGTGCTAGAATATACAGGCTGCTCCTGTAGCTTCAGCCTGACCCTCATAACATGTGGTTTGGTACTTAAAGTCCCTCCTACCTAGACACACGAAAATATGCAGGCATTTTAACTTTCATTTGAAAAACAAAAAAATTGTTTCTAACTCATAGTTAAAGGACATAAAACATCACCACTGCATACAATGAAGTTGCATTAAATAGAGAAAAAACATGCTGTTCACAGATCTTTTTGATTTCATTTTGTTTCTTAAACTATCATCATTTCATAAGCTGGACTCCTGGCTTTTAAATTAATAGAATTGGCAATATTGCTGGGTTTGGCTTTTGCAATGCATGTCCCCTCAGCTACAGGCATCTCTCTGGGAGCACTACTGCACCTCCCTGCAGGCAATCTACTGAGCTCCTCCTCCATTTCAAAGAAACATGAAGGAATTAATCCTCACAGTATGACTATGATGGAGGAAAATATTACCAGAGCTATGGGGAATGTTTAGAGTGAATGTGCATGCATTTGAGGGATACCCAAGTGACACAGGACACAAAGGAACAGATTTCCAGCCCTGCAAGGCTCTGCACTCTCAGCATGAGCTGTCTTTCCTCCTATCCCAGAGGTTACTATCTGTCAAATCAATTCCCCTAGATTTTTCTTACCTTCTTAGTTGTTGTGCTTAGGTATGGATAAGTATTTTTCAAAAGCCTTTTCTAAGGTCTTGAGTAAAAGCATTGAAAGACCAGAAAATAATTAACGTAACTTGATTTAGATGTCCTTTGTTACAGTGCATTTATCACATCTGCCAGTGTGAACACTGCTTGTCATGCTATGGCAGGGCAAACCAAGCCTGACCTTCCCAGTGGTTTGGAACATGTACCCTGCAAAGTACAGATGTGATCCATGTGGAAGCCAAGACTCCACTCCTGCAAGACAGCCCCTACCTCACTTCCCACAGAGACTTGGTGAAGAGGTCCAAATGAGCCCTGCTCTTCGTTAAGAGATCCATCTCTGACCAACTAAGGACAACCTTTGTGAAAACAAGTGACATTTGTTCCTTTACAGGAATAAAAGCTCCAAGGAGACTGGAGTAAAATACCAAAGGAAAACTTTAATGTGGTGTTCTTGCAATTGACTTAACGAGGAGATTTGATCTTTACCATTGCCTTGGAGACCAGCTACATGCTAGAATATTGCAACCAACAAAGGCATTGCCAGAGCAGAGGGGGCAGATAGCCAGGCGCCTCTGCATGCCAAAGGGCACCCTGTCCAGCAGCTTCACAGGACTTCTTACAGTAAACAAACACTGTAGCTGGGTATTTTTCATCTCTGTTTATGACTAAGAGGTCTCCCAGGGAATCATGCCTCAATCCCTTCCAGCCTGAATCTTCATGCTGTGATTCTGGGACCACATTACAACCACTGCCAATACAGGCTGAGGAGCTTCCCACATCCCACTGAAGTGCTGGCAGCTTCCCAAAGCTCTTGGGGGTACCATTTTTCTTTA